TTTATAAATATTTAGGAATTATTTATTACGGGTGATCAGTAGCCCACTTTTGTTATTGTATCGAACACGTTACTGAAGCCGCGTTTGCCGCGCATGCGCGTGAAAAGCGGCCCGTGTACCATCACTCAGCGCAGAGATGCGTCGATGCGCGCGCGCGAGTACAGTCAATACACTCGATCCCGTTTTGTGTCGTTGTGTTATCAAATCTCCAATGCGCACAGCTGGAAATACCGCAACGTGCAATAAACATTTCCTCGAAGTATACGTAGAAACATGTTCGATACTTTCTTCTGATTTGATGCAAGTTATTTTGAAATAAAAAAAAAAGAATATGGACATGTGCGCGCGCGTGGCCAAGTATCCCAGCAAACACAAATTATAACTGCAATATTGCAGCAACATTGCAGTTATAATCTGTGTTTGCTGAGCAGAATATCCTTGATATAATATCCGTGTTCCGCATGCGCGGAATATTTATGATAAATAAATTATATTTAAATTAAAAAATGATAAAATAAAAAATATAATGTTCACGAAATACAATTCTTACGATCTTCAGCTAGTTTAATTCTCATGGAATTGATAAAATAATTGTAAAATATAATAAATTGATATGTTTATGTCACTACACGATATGTTATTACGTGGACTGTTAATGTTTCAGTCCCACTCCAAAAACTCCGTACTCGATTGAAGGTTCATATAAGAAAAGTTCCCCAAAACATTCACACACACTAATAAATGTCATATTATGTCATATATGTGTGTACTTTCTATCAAATGTCAAGGTATCTTATTATATTATACGTAGCACACTGCAGCAACAGTTATTATTTCGCTATTATTGAAGTTTAAAATTGCGTTTCATAAGAAGTGCGTCATCTTATGAAAAATTTTTAACCAATAATAGCGAACTACAGCAAACTGCTGCCACAGTATGCTGCATATGAAAAGGTACCTTCACGCTATTAATGTCAAATTACACAACACGAAATTTATCTTAAAGTTTAACAAGTTTCTTATATTTTTGACAGCTAAACACAAATCTCTAAAATGTCTCTTATCACATCAAGATTTTGAAAAATCTACTATAAAAGTTGTTAAAAATCGCAATTTGGAATTTTTCTATTACATTTAATAATTCTGGACTGGAATGTGCTATAATTAAATTTCCGCAAAATTTGAAACAAAAGACCTAAATTACTTCTATAAGATAAAAAATAAATCAAATATGAGTAGTTTTAGGATTGTACGTAATCTCACTGAAACTGACCCTACATAATCTGTGAATCCATTCAAAGGCACATTTAATTCTAAAAGACGTATTTCCACAAAATATAATTACATTTATATTTTTTCAGGATTGCTGAATACTAATCTAAACTTACATAAATTCTAAAAATTCAAAATGGTGTATTTAATATGACCGCCATTAAATTTGTAAAATTTAATTTTACAAAATTTTTGAAATTTTTAGTTAGTAAAATATTAAATCCGCTATTTTGAATTTTTAAAATTTGAGTTTAAATTATCAGCAATCCATGTAATATGTACAGGTCAGTGCTTTATACGTCTCCAAAAAATGTGCGTTTTCCAGCAAAAACACAGTATAACACAGTGAATTTTTTATCTTTGTTTAGAACGATGTTGGAAGATCGGAATTACCGACATTACAGTTATATGAATATCTTCGAATTGACCGAACGGAATTGAAAATCTTTTCACAAGATTGAAATAGATATGAAATGTAATAGAGGCGAAGGAAGTAAAAACGAAAAAAAATTAGTCGATCAATTCGAAATATATTCATATAACTGTAATGTCGGTAATTCTTCCAACATCGCCTTAATTGACAAACAACAAGGATGAAATGATTCACTGTGTTAAGCTTATATCATACTAGCGATTGATGATTGCGTCTGCGTTTGCGTCTCTGGCTAGTGGCTAACAGTCCCTGACGCAAACGCAAATGCAGACACAATCATCAATCGCTAGTGTGATATGGGCCTTACGCTGTGTCCTTACTGAAAAACGCACAATATCTTTATACTTACTCTACATACATATTATTAATTATGAACGAATTATGAATTAAAAAATGTTTATTTATATAAAAATACGCGTTCCCTCGACCTTCTATTTAATTCTCGTATATTTGACAAAAATAATTTGAAAAAAATGGATATATACAGACGTGGACATATCGGTTGCGACACT